AATAAAATATATATGAACAGTAAATAAGTGTTGCTTTCATATTCTTATGTAGAGTAATGATGATGTGTTTACACATGTGCGCACTTACATATGTGATCTCTCTTTTTTTTTACCCTTAATGGTTAGCTACTTCCATTGTTCCATTTATTAACATTAAATAACATTACTTAAAACAACCATACTAATTTTACTACAGCTACAACCAGGGTCTTATTTTCTTCAGTTTTATATGTAGAACGAATCAGTCAGTGGTTTTGTAAATAACAAAAACAATGGCGTGTTTTAATATTTTTCGTATTATTAATGAATTGTATTGTTCAATTTGCACACATAAACAATAATTCAATCAAAAAGAAATTCAGAAACATTAATTAAAACATATATGAACAGTAAATAAGTGTTGCTTTCATATTCTTATGTAGAGTAATGATGATATGTTTACACATGTGCTCACTTACATACACGACCTCACTTTTTTTTTACCCTTAATTGTTAGCTACTTCCATTGTTCCATATATTAACATTAAATAACATTACTTAAAACAATCATATTAATTTTTCTACATTAATTTTAATACAGCTACAATGGAGGACTTATTTTCTTCAGTTTTATAATTATGTAGAACCAATAAGTCACTGGTTTTGCAAAAAACTAGTTGTTTTTTTACTTATGTTTTGTTTTTAAATAAAGATTTTTTTTTTTTTATATATAGACGTTGATATACATGTTTACATTTGCTTACCTTCTACTGTTGGAAAATATTTCCCATCGTTGTCATACCGACAAAAACAAGAGAAAGAATGTAAACACTACAGCCCCTAAGATGTGGAGGTGACCAGGTGTATAAAATGAGTGCTGTATTAAAGATTTCACCTTCTTATAGATTTTTTTTTAAATTGATGAAAATGACGACTTATAAGCAGTTCTAAGTGATGATATTCAAAGAGGTGTGTGTACTTGTGCCAAAAGGGCTGTATATCAAGCAACGGTTACACTGGTGTAGGTATTAGGCAGCTAATGTACCAAACAAGGAGGCACTACCGTCTGGGAAGATATTGGAAGCATAATGTATTGTCTAATGGTAGACCCTGCTGCTATGAGACCAAGCCCCAGGTTCATGATCTGACTTTCTGCAGGGTCTCAATGGTTTCTCTTACTTTGACAACACAACATACATACAGGTATATTGTTTCTCACTCTTGATATTTTTTTAATTTTTGTATTTATTATTAATATTATTATTATTATTATTATTATTATTATTATTATTATTACTACTACTACTACTACTACTACTACTACTACTACTACTACTACTACTACTACAGGTTGACCATCAAAAATCCGGCAATCGATAAACCAGAACCTTCAGTTTTCCGGCATGGATTTCTGAGCGCATTTTCAAATATTTCTTTGTTTATTTAATGAATATATATGTTTTAGCTCATAAAATTCATACAAATTACCCGGCCAGAATATAATTTACATTGCTGGAATTCTTACAATTTGATGATCATTTTGAATATAAACATCATAGATTTTGCATCAGACATACAAATTTTAGATATAATGTTTACTCTGAGTAAATATGTTATCTTTTGTGCAAAATATATGACATTTATATTCAAAATATTCCTGGTCTTACAAGGAATCCAGCAATGTCAATTATATTATCCTAACTTTAGTCTGAGGTATTATTTATTACTAAAAAGGTAAATAGTCTGGTTTTCCCACACATTTATCTGGGAGGGAGGGACCGTCCGACCATCTGGCACGGTGTGAAGAATATTTTTTTTTTATTATTAACTGAAGATATTTCTTTTAGCTCATAAAATTCATACAAATTACCTGGCCAGAATATAATTTACATAGCTGGAATTCTTACAATTTGATGATCATTTTGAATATAAACATCATGTATTTTGCATTAGACATACAAATTTTTAGATATAATGTTTACTCTGAGTAAATATGTTATCTTTTGTGCAAAATATATGACATTTATATTCAAAATATTCCTGGTCTTACAAGGAATCCAGCAATGTCAATTATATTATCCTAACTTAAATGTTTAATTTTCTTTGTTTAAAGGACTGTACAGGTAGTCATTTTCTGTTAAACTTATACAGCAAATATAACCATCAGTTTTCCGGCATTTTTGAAAATCCGGCACTCCTCAGGTCCCGAGGTTGCCGGATTTTTGATAGTCAACCTGTATTATTATTATTATTATTATTATTATTATTATTACTATTATTATTATTATTACTATTATTACATTTTCGCCCCCTAGGCCCCAATGTGGGTCAGTGACCTGTGCCCAGGTGGGCTAAAACCCGTAATTTTTTTTTTTTTAGAATTTCATTTCCAAAATCAGGGTGCGTCTTCCACGATGCAGCGTCTTCCAAGCCGAAAAATACGGTACTAGGTGGCTGGGCTGGCGAGTTGACCATGTGGTTTATAGCCAAGGCCTTGACCATAATCGCCTCCACACACACACACCCATGCTCTTCATTTTCTTGTCTATATATATAAAACAAAAAAGTATGTCTGTGTGTGTGTGTGTGTGTGTGTGTGTGTGTGTGTGTTTGTGTTTGTTTGTTTGTGTGTATGTGTGTCCGCACGAGAATCTCGGAAACTACTTTACTGATCTGTAGTGATGATGGATGGTGTTATATGTAGTGATGATGATGGATGGTGTTATATGTAGTGATGATGATGGATGGTGTTATATGTAGTGATGATGGATGATGTTATATGTAATGATGATGGATGTTATTATATGTAGTGATGATGGGTGGTGTTATATGTAGTGATGATGGATGGTGTTATATGTAGTGATGATAGGTGGTGTTATATGTAGTGATGATGGATGGTGTTATATGTAGTGATGATGGATGGTGTTATATGTAGTGATGATGGATGATGTTATATGTAGTGATGATTAGACAGTAAAATAATATCAGTTTAATGCTAAAAAAATGTACTTTGCTGTACCGTTGCAGTGAAAAACATGGTGGAACTTACATACACCGTTAATGAACTATTGATGGAAGAAGAAGTTTTGGGGACTGAACAGTGAGACAATGTGGAGCCTCACGGAAGATGGCGTCCTACCGTGGCCTAGCGGATGTGCCGCCCGAAGCGGACAGTCGGTCACAGGAAACAGATCAGGAAAGGGAATCCCGTCTCAATGCTAACAGAAAGCGAACAGCAGACAATCGGTCACAGGAAACAGATCAGGAAAGGGAATCCCGTCTTAATGCTCAGAGAGAGCGAACAGCGGACCGTCGGTCACAGGAAACAGATTAGGAAAGGGAATCCCGTCTTAATGCTAACAGAAAGCGGACAGTCGGTCACAGGAAACAGATCAGGAAAGAGAATCCCGTCTTAATGCTCAGAGAGAGCGAACAGCGGACCGTCGGTCACAGGAAACAGATTAGGAAAGGGAATCCCGTTTTAATGCTGACAGATAGCAAACAGCAGAAAGGCCTTCTCTAGAAAATGATCAAGCGCATGAAATTCGTTTGAATGCTAATAGACAGAGAGCTGCGGGATCCAGAATTCTAAGAAAGAATACATGGTGGCATCCACTTATAAGAGCAGCATTTAACTATGACAATGAGATAGAATATGAAAAGTATCCCTCTGTTGTCATTGGCAACATGGATAAGAAATGTGAACACTGCAGTGCAAAGAAGTTTAAGGAGAATCTGCTGGACTGTGCTGCTCTCATGGGAAAGTACGACTGCCAAATTTGGAAAAACCACCACAACCATTGAAGACTCTCATGCTGGGAACAACACCAGAGTCAAAACACTTTTTGGAAAATATACTGAAGTACAATTCATGCTTCCAGATGACATCCTTTGGAGCTACAAGAGTAGTTCGAGCACGGATACATACCAACATTCAAAGTCCAGGGTCAAGTCTATCACAAAGCAGGATCCCTCTTACCACTGGAAGATGAGCAGGCAAAGTTTCTCCAAATCTACTTCATGGGAGATCATGAAAAGCAGACTACTATCAGGTGTGGCAATATTCAAGGTGTCAGACATGACATTGTCGTATCTATCCAAGAAATGCTGCATGAGCGCAACACGTATGTACAGTCATTTAAAAATGCCCTGGAAAACATGCCTTCTGACGAGTACAAAGTCAGGATCAAAGCAGACACAATCCCTCGGGGAGAACATGAAAGAAGATTCAATGCTCCTAAAGTTGATGAAGTAGCCATCCTGATTGTCGGTCAAGAATTTGAGAAACGAGACATCATACTCAAAATGAGAGACGAGTAGCTCACAAGAAGAGCATGATGCCACATGTACTGGAAGCTACAATACTGACAGGAAAAGCTAAAGGAGAGGACGTTTTTATACCAAGGATACCTCTCATCACCACTGACTGCCATTTGAGTTCAAGCGACTTCAGTTCCCGGTTAAAGTGAACTTTGCCATGACCATCTACAAAAGCCAGGGACAGTCCCTAAAGATGGTTGGCCTAAACCTGGTGTTTCCTTGCTTCTCTCATGAACAGTTCTATGTTGGATGCTCCAGAGTGGGAACTGGCAAAAATCTGTACATACTTACTAATGGCAAAACCAAAAATGTGGTCTACCTTAATGCACTACAGTGAGACAATGTGTAGCCTCCCGGAAGGTGGCATCCTCCCATTGCCTAGCGAAAGAGCAGCGATTCCGCTAGTATTATACTATATTTCATTTATTTGTAAGCCACATTAGAGTATTGTCATGATTTTTCAACAACATACCCATGCTCTTAATTTTCTAATTTTATAGTTTTATATTTTCTTTATTTCTAAGCCACATCATTTATAGAGTGGAATAAGTGTTATTTAAAAAGCATTTTTTGAGGGGGGGGGTGGGGGGAAGTATGCCCGGTGGGTCTTACGTCGCCTGGGCTTTAAGGGTAAACTACCATGAATCCATTATAGCTCTTGCATAGTTTTCTCCGGTAACTTAATTTTTCATATTTCACAGGTACAAGAAACACCTAAAAGCATTTTACATCGTTCACCCCACCTTGTGGACCAAGATAATGACCTGGTGGTTTACAACTTTTATGGCACCACAGATAAAGCACAAGGTTGTTAACTTTTCTGTCATCACTTTCCAATATAAAAACCATTTTAAATATTATGAATTATAATATTTTTGTTGTTGGTTTTTGATACAGTATTGATGATCCCATTTCTCCCTAGGTTCACTCAGTACCAGGTGTGGAATACTTGTATGACATTATTGACCCAGATCAGCTAGAAATACCAGCCTACATCACCGAACATGACATGACGGTATGTAATTTCATCTTCATAGTGTTTGTATGTCTATAAAGAACATATTCTCCTTTGTTGTTTGTCTCACCATGTAGGTAATTGCTCAAATTATGGTGCATAAACAATTTCTTTAACTTTTAGATCCAATAATGAATTTGGGGGGGGTCTCCAGTCCCTTACCTTATGGAGTATCTATGTAATCTAATTTTGTGAATGTGTAAAATAAAAACTTATCTTGCAGTAGCCATTTCCAATAAATGCTGTCAATGACACTATTTTTTATCTTATGATCCCAGTATGAATAAAATTCTTCCTTAGCCCAAAGAAGACCTGTCCCATATAGTAAAACCCCTATAATTTGTACTACTCAAATTCAAAATCACTCATAATTCATATTGTTTTGCTGTTACAAAATATATACTGTACAGTATTACAAATTTTTAAATATGAGAGATATTTCAAAATATTATGATATACAGTGGTCCCTCGATTAACGAACGGTTCAATTAACAAAATTTCAGTTTACGAATTAGCTCCCATAAGGATTTTCAGTTCCGTTGAAGAAAAAACTTCGATTAACGACAGCCTTACGAAAAACACGCTTTGTTGTGCGCATCAGCTTATCAGCTAGTCCGCCAATACAGTAATTGGTTCTATGTTTACATTTGTTTCCAGTGGAGTAAATATCAAGAAAGTTGTGCTCTTGAATATTTTTGTATTTTTTATACGTATTAAAATTATTGGTCGGTCATTCTGAAATTTAGTTAACATGTTGATAATATATATACAGTACAGGGAACAGTTTTTGTGTGCCCTTCAGCTGATCGAATCACCCACCTACGTTTCTCAGTTTAACTTTGTTTACAGTGGAGAGAACATCGAGTTTGTTGGTCTCTTGAATATTTTTGCATATTTCATTAAAATTATTGGTCATTCTGAAATTTAGTAAACATATTGATAATATACAGTGCAGAAATTTTATGAAACACAAAGAAGGCATTAGAACCAATGCTATTTGTAAAGAATATGACATGTCATCATTGACTGCCTCAACAATCAGCTGTTCGATATGTTAACAAAGCTGCCGGGAATATTACATACACCCCTCAAAGTAAGTTAAAATTCAGTATTCTATTGTTTTTTTATTTATTATTGTACAATATACTGTATAGTGCAGTGTTGTATTTAGTTTATATTTAATGCTTTTTTAATTTTATTACCGGTATACAGTAGTACCCCGATTTACGCGGTCAATTGAACCCACAGGGTACCGCGTAAAGTGAACAACAGAACATATGGGATTAATTCCAATAGAGACTGGCCCGACCCCCAAACTCCACTTTTTCCGACACAATACCTATGTTGTAGTAAAAATAACATCTAAATTTTATGATGGTATGCTCACACAATTAATATTTAAGAGAAATACAGTCGCCAGGTTATGTCCATTCAAATAATGGACTCAAATCCCCCCCCCTCTTCCCAGCTCACTGGCCCCTACCTCTCTGAGAAATGATTGGGTGAAACACTAGATTTTAACGTTTAGTAATAAATAATACCTCAGACTAAAGTTAGGATAATATAATTGACATTTCTGGATTCCTTGCAGGTCAGGGAATATTTTGAATGTAAACGTCATATATTTTGCACAAAAGATAAAATACTTGCTTTGTGTAAACCAAATTATTACATTAGATCTAATATTTGTATGTCTAATGCAAAATCCATGATGTTTATATTCAAAATGATCATCATATTGTAAGAATTCCAGCAATGTAAATTATATTCTGGCCGGGTAATTTGTATGAATTTTATGAGCTAAATAAAAACAAAAATAAAAAAAATTATACTTCTCGCATATATGAGTAGATGCACCGCGGAAAGTGAAAAACTGGTTCTGGCAAGGTACCGCGTAAATGAGAAATCGCGGAAAGTGAAACCGTGTAAAGCGGGGTAATACTGTACAGTATTTTGTATGTACAATATACTTTTTCTGTGAGTTGGAACCAATTACCCAATATCCCATTGAATTAATAGATTCAGTTAACGAAATTTTCGGTTAACAACCGACTTGGGAACCAATTGTGTTTGTTAATCGAGGGACCACTATACCTGTATATACAGCATTACATTTTTTGTAATATTTGATAATTTTTGGATTATGAGAGATAATTTATGACGCTTATGTCGGATCTTATTAAAAATTTGGACTCTGTTAAATTTTGTTGACAAATTTGTCACCAGTACAGTTTTTTATGCTGATTCTAAGTATGCATCTTATTTTTTGCAGAAATAAATATTGAACATTTTATTGGTGTTTGTTTGCAGGAGCAGTGTCTGTTTTTGCTGTTGAATGAAAATGAGTGATAACCTAAAATCATTGTTACCTAACCTTAACCTATACTTTACCCAACCTAACACTCAAAAAAATTAATCGTTGTAGAATGCTGTCAAGTGCAGAAACAACAAACAAGCCTGTACTCATCGCCAAATGTGGGATGGGTACCTGTGTGAGTTTATGTGGTGCCAGCGTCACAAAGGGCAAAATTTGTACAAGCTTATGTTAAACATGATTGATCAGGACTTATGATTCATAGACCTGTAAGTCACAAATAAAACATTTCCGCAAAACATGAGTTTCACATTTAAAATCGGCATGAAAAACTGTATCTTTAGCGCAAGTTTAAAAAATTTGGAACACAGTCCAAGTTCTTAATAAGACCCCATATGTCACCATGTGTCCATGGGAGGCAACTACCCACCACGGTGTAAACAGGTACTCTACAAGTCACATGTGTCGGTCACGGTCAGTTCACATTGGTCACTCGTGGAGTGCATATGTATGGTCTACCACGTAAGCTTTTTCCGTCATTGCCCAGTGTTTGAGCCAATATGTATGATGACCCTAAATCTAGTACAGTACTGTACTTAGAAATGTTTACATTTTGATTGGGACAGATTACAAAAAAGTACCATTGTTTTTTCCTCAGGTGTGTCTCATAATTCATAAAATCTCATAATTTGTAAGAGTTAGAGCTCCTATGATTTTGAATTCTGGGGGTTTACTGTAATGACGCTGACTTGTGATTTAACTATTATAATCCAAGAAAATCCCATCATGTCTGACCTGTTGATCTCCATGTAAATAGATCTTCCTTACACCTAAGATGGTCCCACTCATTTCATTTGGTTATTATGCAAGATACAGAACGTTGATAATACACTGGAAACCATCCTTAAATAAGGTCCTAACGTGACATTAACTTTTGACTTCTTAACCCCAAAAGGAAAAGAGTTTTTACAATCACCAAACAGGACACAGCCCTCATGTTACATGTGTTACTTTCAAACATTCTGGACAAAAGACTGTACAGATCTTCATACACATATTGGATACCGTATATCTCGGCCTACAAGGCGATGGGGTGTATAAGACGGCCCTCAAAATTTCCATTTAAAAAGTAGCTTTTGAACTTACCTTTGGGAGCTTACTGACCCAGTAGTCCTTTACCAACCATCCCATTGACCAGTGCTGTTTACACATCCTTGGTTTTTTTAAATAAGGCCAATTCACTTCAAGTAATGGCATCAAATGTTAGAGGTTGGTGTAGTGTAAACACTAGTGACTCACTTAAAAGTCTGTTATTTAACTTGAACTAATGTCGGTGTAGAATACAATTGTTTCATTTACTTGAAATGGATTTACCGATTTATTTGTTTATTTATTTATTTATAACATACTGTAATATATTAAACACACTGCAAGTATTTTCTTTAATTTATAAGCTTGCTTCAACCAGCTACAGTATTCTAATTCAATAGTGTTTCATTAGGATTTGAGTGAAAAAGATTACTGTACATACTTATTACATACATTTATTACACAAATATATATATATATATATATATATATATATATATATATATATATATATATATATATATATATATATATATATATATATATATATATATATATATATATATATATATATATATATATATATATATATATAATCACAGTCATGTACTGAATATTCTATGTAAAAAATATAAATTTTAAATGAATTATTTCTAGTGTGGTCGACTTCCTACACAAAGACAGGCTATAAATAGCCGTCTTATCTCCACCTCCTTCCTTCCCCCTCCATCCCTCTGTTCTCAGAGAGGTCTTGGTATTAACTTATGTTTGTTTATTTTCATTGTTTGTCTAATTTATCATGTTGTATCAAAATAATATTACTAAAAGTTTTAGGCAGCTACCAAACAGGGAGATTCTGCTGCCTGGGAAGATATTGGAAGCACAATGTACAGTATTGTCTAATGGTAGACCCTACTACCATATGGCATCACGAAAATTGTGACCAGGTCTTAGGTTGCTGATCTATCTTTCTGCCTCATTTACACACAATTGCAGAGTTTCAATTGTTTCTCTTCCTTTGACAACACAACATACATACAATATGATGTTTCTCACCCCTGATTTTTTTTCCATTTATTTATGGTTGGTTATTTAAAATAATGCTAATTCACTGCAAGTATTGGCATCAAATTTTACCGGCTGGTGTACACTAGTGACTCACTTAAGCATCAGTTATTTAACTGGAACTAATGTTGGTGTGAGTAAAATATTTCCATTTACTTGAAACAGATTTGCCAATTTATTTGTTTATTTATTTATTTATAATATACTGTAATACATTAAACACACTGCAAGTATTTTCTTTAATTTATATACTTGTTTCGCAAAAAAGGGAGGCTACCATTATACCTGGTAGGTGAAGTTGACCAGACATTTATGGTGATCATTAAGGACCAAACTCCGAATCCATGACTTGACTTCTGTTCATCATTCTCATCCTAAATTTACCACTGTCGGTAGTTTCAAGAATTAACGCAGTCATTTAATGAATATTCTTTGTAAAAAAAATAAAATTTAAATTAATTATTTATAGGAGATAAGTATTATGATCAGTAAATATACAGGTATGCATTACTGACCACCTCCGAACACAAGGACGGCTAAAAATAGCCACAGGCGGTCACAGTCAAGGTCACTTTCCCTTTCTTGTCACTGGCAAATGGGGGTGGGGGGGGATGATAATAGCAGCTGTGTTTATTACGGTGTGTTAGACTGGTTTATAATTCATTTTTATTATTTTAATGTACCGGTAATCTTCATTTTAATCCAGCTTCCCAGCTAAACCGCAATATTTAAGAGGTAAGAATTTTATCGCTGGTGCTTAAGACAACCCCTTAACTTTGGGCTGATTTTTTTTTTTTTTTTTTCAAATTCCATCTTGTAGGCCGAGATATACGGTAGGTGGTATTTTATAGTTCAGAATTGGATGGTAGAAGACAAACAGGAGTGTGATGGATGCACTAGAAGAGATGGGAATGGATGTCCAGGAAGCAACAGCATTTATGATTGAGCATAGTAGTGAATGATTTTTGGGGAGGGACATGGCGTGATGGGTGAGTCTGGCTTCTGTAAAGTAACAAGGTTGAACAGAACCAGGGTCTGATTGTGGAAGGGAAGCACCATAGCAGTACTCATTAATTATGGCACCGGTAGTAAGAAGGAAAGAATGACTATGAATGAAAGGAAAATGAAAATGTAGGTGTGGTTGCTAGTTTTCACACACCCTGTAATAAATGTAAAAGGATTTGAAAGACTAAATACAGTACAGTATATGTATATACTGTACATATGATTATTAGTGTAAACATCTGTACATTGTTGGTTTTGCTACAGATCAATGGGATTCGCTACTACAGGCCTGGATCTGCATCATCTTGAAGAGCTTTAATAACCAAGCAGACATGAATACTGTATTATCTTTGCAAGGTTAAGAGAATTCAGGAAGAGTAATGCAGATAATTGTATTATTCATTTTTTTCTTTGATGACTGAAGAACTGTTAGGAATGATTCATAGTTAGTGACAGTTGAATTTTGATTTATTCAACTCAACAGCAATACTGTACTAAAGAGGTATGTCTCATCATGCTGAGCTTGAAAATAACCCTAATTTACCATATCCTATTCTCTAGGTATTGCCATACCTTCCTTAAGTTGTGGCCTTATTTTCAAAAGTTAGAATGTTGTAAGATCTCAAGCAAGAGTGTTTACAAACCTGGGCATTCATCTGAAATAGCATATAAGTCTTGGGATAATGAGTTACAATCAAAAAGGGAATATCTGACATATGAATTACCTCAAAATTCTCCCTTTCGTAAATATGGCTACACAAAATGTTACAGGAAGATCTAATGCTCAATATCTCTGTAGAAATAATTTCTGTCTTGTTCTTTGTACTTCCCAAGTAATATTACTGCTTTGTTCAGGATGTACACACCAGAACAATCAGACAAAACATCAGAATTTGGATGTAAATGAACATATCTTGGTAGATGCTGTGATTTTATTTTCTGCTACTCCATAATGGGGGTCACGGCCTCAAGTACTGCAAGCATATTTACTGATACAAGGTTCACTTGCAAGGCATTTTATTGTGCAGTTCAGCTGACAATGTCTTAATAGTTTTTAGAGTTATTTATGAAAGCATTTCATCAATCAAGGTAATAGTTTTTCCTATATCTATACAGTACGTAGTTATGTTTTTAGACTGCACTGTACAAAAGGATATTTCAACGCTGATTGCAGCTTCAATAGGCACGGAGGTATACTATTACAATTATTCTTTTTAAGAAGGGCTTACCGTATATGTTGAAATCTTTTGGTATGCTGGATATAAAGGCCTAGTTTAGTAAATTGGAGAAATAATTCTAATAATTATACTGAACCACAAATTTAATGACTGTGCTTGAGTTGGTTCTTGGGTTAGTAAAATAACAGCTGTAAGGAACTTAAAATGTATATCAAGGAGCAGGTAAGTTGAGATACTGAATTAGATTTCAAGGAATTTTCCTGATTCTTGTACAGTAGTATATTATAATGGATTGATTTTTTTTTAAGCCAGGACAAATAAAATGTCATACTTGAAGGAGATTTGCAGGTTATATGTGGTTATTTTTACCTCTTTATATACTTGCTGTGCCAAACTGTTAAGGCTATTGTTATTACACAGAAGCATTATGTTAGAAATGAGAAAATATTCACTGTACATAATTCCAGGGAAAATATCATGACTAGAATATTCAGTAATTTTTTAAGCACACAAATTGAAGATTGTCCTTACTAAAGTTACAAGAGTAAAAGTTTAAAACGAATAAAAAAACAAAAACATACAGTATACAGTAGAAGTCCCAAAATCCGGACTGCTTGGGGATTGGGTCAGTCCGGATTTTCGGATTTTCCGGATTCTCAGGCAGTACTTTTAAAATTCAAATTTAAGGAGGAATAAAGAAGAGATGAACAGGTACATTTTGATAGTTTATTCATTAGCAAATATAGCATGCTTCATTTCTCAAAACGAGCAGTTTTAGAGAAAAAGCTGTGAATTCTATTATTTTATTCTTTGCCTTTTTTATATCATAAAATGTAGACTTTCCAATGTCGAATGTTTCCATTAGATCAGTATTGCTCACACCACTTTCTAGTTTCTTAATTATTTCAAGTTTGTCACTCAGTTTCAACGTGTTTTTCTTCCTCTTCACACAACAAAGTTTATCTACTTTAGGAGCCATTATTATGGGCTTGTACAGTACTCTGTAAATGGAAAGAGTAGGACTCAAAATTACATACGTTGTCACAGTTTGATTGCTCGTTTTAAAGTGGCGACTGCGTGGTCGCTTGTCACTGTGCAGCTGTGGCGCTCATGCATGCACACATACACACAAAAGCCAGCTTAAAAAAAAAAAAAAATTGAGTTTTCGAAAAGTCCGGATTCTCGGGTGGTCCGGATTTCTGGCATCCGGATTTTTGGACTTTTACTGTATTAAACTGAGTGGGTCAACCTATTCAAGTGCCAGATTGGATATATTGAACTGATAAGTTTTCATATTTTATCCTCCTTTTTATGAACCTCTACCTTAATAACACTTCCATTGGAATGTTTTAACATGATTGTATTGTCATTATTTGAAATCATGGAATTTCTAAACTTAGGTTAGAACGATGTGGTTTTGTGCCAGATTTTCCATCACTGTCTTAAGACTCCCTAATTGACAGTTTGAGTTATAATAAACATTTTGATCCTTCAAAAAAAGTATAAACATTGGATTAAACTAAAACAAAAATTAAGAAGCATTCCAGTTATGATTTTCTTTGGTTAGTAACAGTTGAGGTGTATATAATATAACACTAGTTGATTTCACAACAGTTGATTAAAAGAGCTAAGGGAACACATGTTCTCTATGTATAATGTTACCAAGTACCCTATATCATAAGTGCCCTGTTTTGAAATGTTTGTATCTTATCAGTGATTGATGTTGAGGCATTTGTTTCAGAATACTAGTGAAAATTTGGTTGTTTTGGTGGGAGTGCTTTGGCTCTTGGTTCTACAGTTGAGCGCCATAGCTAACGTTCTTGTAAACTATGAATATTCTATGCCAATGGCAGAAAACAAGAAATATAAAGATGAAGGCATGCATCTTGCAGTAATTAATGAGCTTCTACAAGGATTTCACTTATATGTTATAGATAATTAATTATATTTTCTGAAATACATACTGTACTGTATTGTACATAAGTTTTATAGATTACATTTTACAGTATAAGAAAGCAGTGAATATAATAATTTTTTACTCATCTGAATTTAAACATTTGTTTGAATAGTTTTTTGAAGTTGCAAACATAAACATTGTTGATGAAATTGTGAAAATAATTGTGCACTTAACATGAATTTTTGTAATTTACAACTAGCAGTCATGTAAGCACACTTAATCAATGTTCCATTGCATATCATTCAATGTGCAGGTACTTTTTTGCCTGTAGGATCTATTTCCTTCATTTTTCATAATCCTCCAATTTTGAAATGGTAAATGCATTTCAAAAATAAGAAATTTGTTTGAAAGATAAACTGTAGTTGTATTATATTTTCTGGTTTTCTAACCCCATTGGTTGGATACAAACCTCATAAGTTGTATATACTGTGGTTGACAAGTGTCTTAGAATAATCTTGTAATTGGACAAAAAATTTTGCATCTACAGTATATTATTTTTGTCTTATTAGCTTGCATGCAGTTTAACTTCTGACAATTAATTTATGAAATAATTATTCTAATTAAAGGATTTTTATTAAACAAAGCAATATAGTACTGTATTGTGGAAAACATTCGTCAAATTCACATTTAATGGTCTAGCTCTTTCTCGAAAAGTCTTGGACCGATGTTAAGAAAATACCGTAAATATCTTTAAAATTCAAGACAAAAATCTGACTTTGGAATCCTCGATTCCTTGTATGAACTTTTGTTGGAGGTAAGAAGTTCTGTACTAGTTTATCTGTTATAGGAAGCATACGAGCCTTACTCTGTCATTTTATACTAACTACAGTTGATGCTGTCAGAATGTTTTGAATATTTCCTGTTGTTTATAGCCATTCAAAGTAATTTTTTATTACTTTGAGTAGGAGTTAATGAAAGCCTTACATGTTTAACAACAAAAATTCACTTTTAGACTTACTTGCGAGAGGTGTTCATTACCTCCTGCTGTGCCACAGGTTATGGGAGTGAGCAGAATCCTCCATGGAGGATCTAGAGACAAGTTTTATTTTGTGATAATAGTGCCATGAAAATATCTTACTTATACATACTGTAGCTATAGTCATTATGGAAACTTTATACAGTATCATATTTGTTTTGTATGGCCATAGTTCAGTTGAAATACTTTGTAGTTAAGGAAGATTGCTAGGCTCTTTTGTTATATTTGATAACATAGTTATAGATTTTATACTTGTTGAATAGTAATACTTTATTGTTTATTATGTTAGATTTAAAAAATATTTAATGTTAAATCATATAATATTTATGGTAAAGGTATTGATAATGTATAATAGTTTAATTTCAATCAGAGTACTTACGGTAAATATGCAATTTAACGTTAATTGTCCCTACATAGTCAATAATGTTAATTTTCTGGACCATTCTATTCATACAGAATGAAAAAGTATCAGCTTTAGCAAAGGAAAAAAATAATAATTCTTTGTGCCATGCAATGATTCAGCTGTGCTGCTTGTTTTCATCACTTGTTGATGAACCAAGATTGTTTTAAAAATATATACTTGTGATAATGCTGTATCCAATCAACATCAGAAGTTTGCTTGTCATCCTGTGCTAGTACATAATGCAGCAGGCAGTTTTGTGTATTGTAAGAACAGTTGTTGTCCAAGGCATTTGTTGTGGCATGAGTACCCCTTGACAGGTAAGAGGATTGGTACCAGAAAAGTTGTATTTTTGTAGTTGCTGCAGTCTTTTGAATATTTCTTCTTAGCCTTGGTGTGTATAAGATATAAGGTAACAGAGTAACTGGACAAAGAGTATAACCTAGGCAGCTATATATAGGTACTTCCCATTCATGGTAGTGTCCAGTTAACTCTACGATTACTACATTCACAAGGAATCTAAATTATTGAATATTATTTTAGATGTCAACAGTCATGATATTATAAAACATTACCTTGACATGAGTCTTTTGTGAATGTATTCTGGAGGAAGAGTGAAATTTGATGCATTATACCGTGTAGCAATATAAAATAAATTTATTTGCATGGTTGACAAAGATTATTTTTCTTCTTTACTACAGGTATAAGGGAAAAATATGTACTGTGTGTGTGTCAAAACTCTTCCTCCGTCTGATATAACCATATTATTAGTAGAACAGTTTTGGTGTGCCATAGTCTAGTTGTAGTTATAATAGGCCAAAGATATTTTTACTCTGTTCATGTAGTTATATTCATTTGAGTCTTTGCTGTACAAACATGATTTAGCTATTCTATAAACTCAAAATTTTGGCCTATAATTTATTTATGGTTTTACCAATTTTGTATTCTTAATAACAAAGAAATCTTAGGATAATCTCTTATAATGATGCCCATAAATAATTTGGACAACACTTCTTAAATGTTGCCTATAGCAAGTACGTACCTCTTCTCAAGGTGGAAACCTGGAAGGCACATTAGTGTATGAGGGTTTCACAGTTTTATTATGCACAGCTCTACTCAGTTAATTCATGTTATATTGGAAGCAAAATCTTTTAATTACTTTGTGAAATTCTTAACCAAAGTCTTCATATCTCTTCTTTCTGATACTGTGAATGTCTGTTTTCTAAAACCCAAGTACTTGTGTGCCTCATGCTAATTACTCCTACAACTTTCTTTCCCTTGGTGTTGCCTCCATTACTGTATCTCAGATTATTTTTTTTATAACAGTTTTTCTTTGTAATTATTATTTGTCACACACCTTTACTTGTAGTAACTGTGACCATTAAATAATTTATTATATTGGGCAGCAGAAATATGCAAACCATCATATCTTCTAATAATAGATATTATTGAGGTTGTTACTGTAGGTTGTATAAGTAGAGACTGTGTATATTAAGATCAGTTAATATTATCCCATGACAAACCTGAAGATCACCTTGCATTGTAATTCTAAAGTTTGTTTTTTTATTGAGTTTGTTAACTGTTTACATACCAGTTATAAATGCTTTACATGTTTGAGGTGTACAATATGTAGGTTAGAGGAGTTAGTGTTGCCATGTTAATGATGCAGTATAAGAATAAATTGTTCACAAAAAAAGTCAATCATTACACTTTAATCAAATAACTTAGTTCTAGAGGTCTCTCTATTTATTACTGTAACAATAAGATGATGATGTGGTTCCTTTAAAGTTCCTAAGGTCCCCACAAATAGCCAGTGTCCATTCAATTCATAGGTACAGTAGTCAATGGATCACATCCTATCGGGTTGAGAATCAGACTGTGAAGAGCTGCAGAAAGATCTCGTTGAGCTTCAAGAATGGTTGAGGAGATGGCTGCTAAAATTCAATGTCACGAAGTGGAAAACGATGCACCTGGGTCTCACCAGTGGTAAGGAGGCGTAGCACATGTCCCAACAGGATGAAGAGACTGCATTATTTGAGACAATGTGAAAAGGACTTGGATGTGTATGTCGATAATAATGAACTCAAGTTTTCAGGCCATTGTGAGAAGGTGAATCGGGCAACAAAACTAGGTCTAAAAAGTAGGTCATTTAGATATATTGATGGTTCATCACGATCTTCAAGAGTGAGGTGCTTCCCTATCTGGAGTATTGTCACCCGGTCTGGTCCTCGAGATAT